AAAAAAAGGAAAAAAAAAAAAAAAAGACAGGTGGCAGAACCACTGAGCTAAATCCCCGGCCCCAATCTTACACATTTCTTGTGAAACTTATTACTAGGTACTTTATACATTTTATTGCCAATTACAAAAAAAAAAAATCCCTTCTAATAATTTTCATATTGTCACTTGTGGCACAGTAGAAAGCTATTAAAGTTTTAATTACTATTTTTAATCAGCTACTCCCTCAATTACTTCTAATAGTCCTTCAAATTATTTTCTGAGGGTTTTTTTTTTTTTCCCTCCCACGATGCTTAGGATTAAATTAAATCCAAGGCCTCAAGAATGCTGAACCCATACTCTACCACTAAGCTTCACTCCTAGCAATGAATTCTATAAATTTTTTTGGACTTTCTGAATGATAATTGTGTCACCCACAAATTACAGCCTCCTTGCTCCCAAAAATTATACCTCAAGTTTTTAGTTTCTTAATGAGACAGCCAGGAATTTAACAGAATAATTCCAAATAACAATTCTCATCTTCAAAAAAGTTTAATGGCTAAAACTAAAGTTAAAATAGCTCTCTGTACTATAGGATTTCTCAGTGCTAATGTGTGCTATGAATTTCTAAGAAAGGAATACTAGCATATGTCATTTCCAAACTTAGCTAACTCTTGAACCTTTTTTGCATGGTATGCCTAATTAGTAACTTTGAGACCAGAGTTCAACAAGACAGAAGGAAAACCCTGTTGTGCTATGATGACTGAATCACTTATCAATTCATGGCTTGTCAGCTCCCAAACCATCCTTTACCACCCTGCCTCTGAAACTGCTTTGTCAGTAGCATAATGCTAAACTGTCAGCAGAGGGCGCAGGAGAGACTCAAGTGAGGGGGCTTTTCCAGGTCCCCAGGAGCCTCCCTCAGGCTTGCTTCTGTGGTGCAGCTCATCCAGTGACAGTCCCCAGTCTCAATGGCCCCCATCAGGCTGATACTATGATGAGGTTAAAGAAACACTGATGTAGAAAATCTGTGTGTGATGCCTCAGATGTTGTGCCCTTGGCATCCTAGTTCTTGGCCCTTATCATCTGGGAGTGCACTTAGGCTACACCACCTGCAGACAACATCCTGAGTTCCATCAATATAGCACCACAGTGAACTTCACCATGCAGGGCAATGACCTCACCCTCTTACAACAAGGCAAGAAGCCAGAGGGTTGGGGTTTCTCCCCGATTTGTTCCTTTCTCAGGTACTCTGCCTCAATCCTAAAGGTATTACTACTAATTTTATAATCAGAAAAAAGCAATAA